CGTCTGAACTGATTGACTTTATTCTCTAGCGGAGAATACAACTAATTTATATCTGGTTTAAAGTTAAAAACCATAATCTCTATCTTTCTTTTATAGTGCTTAACTTTATGAAGCACTAATTCTCTTAATCATCTGAGATTTTTATTCTCTAATCCTTTTGTTCCGAGCTCTCTCAAAAACTTTAACGCAATTAATCGTTTCTTGAAATGAGAACAAATTCAAAATCAGTAACACTATTTTAATTTAAGGCGCAAGCCTTAAACAACCAATCACATGTATTCTTCCTATCCTTCTTAATCAAAATCAACTCAGCAATACATTTTCTTAACTTATTAAACTTATACTCATACACATGCATGTGTAATTCCCTTTCTTCATGTTCGTATATTCTAGCTTCATTTGTCTTATGAACAGGTCATCCATGTACTTATTCTTGAATTCTTCTACAAATAATACCCACATCATTGAGTCTTTTAACATTCTTATGGTAACATTTGTCCACCATACTCTAGCTTTCCCACGTAGTAACGAAACTACTCAATTTAACTTCTCCGATTTGGAGAAATAAAAACCTTCTAACAATATCTTTCTATCATAAATCAAATGTCTATAACAGTAGAACATTTCTCAAAATTCACCTTTGAACTCGAGTGTTCTCAACTCTTCTCGATACATTCATTCTATGAATTATAAAAGTATAAAATTAAAAACACATCATAATATCATTCAACATCACGGAACATTCTCTAATCTTGTACATGCACTCCCTGAGGTTTTCGCTCTTCTCCCTGCCTGGCCAGGGCAGGTGAATGCTATTACATTCAGTCTATTATCTTATGTTTCACTTTGGAAAACTCTTATAATCATATATCTAATATAACATAGCATTTTAACTCTATTATCAAGACAGTACACTCCTTACACTATCAGATCAGAAAATTTTTCACTTTAAGTTGGCATGTATACTTTTAAAAACACTTTTGACTTCGTTTTTAGCCTAGAATCAGCTAAACCATAGCTCTGATACCATTAAATGTAACACTCTAACCCATATTCGACCCGAATACGAGTCCGAGATGTCACATTGACTTTTAAAAACGATATTCTTACAAAATATCAAAACATTTGGACTCATTTTAGGAAAATACCACAATATTCTATTAAATTATGTTTCGTATAAAATTTTGAGTCAAAAATGTATTTATGAATAGCAAAATACAATATGAACAGTACCGTATAAACAGTACCCGAATGTTAAAATTTTCCAGAATGTTGGAGGGGAACCGATTCCCCTGCTACAGGGAACTGATACCCTGCTACAGTATTGTTATAGTACTGCTACAGTATTTCCGTAAAACATGTATAAAACCCATGAAATTTTAAAACGTTCATCATTATACAATTATCATTTACATATGTACGTTTAAAACATTTCAAAACTCGATCAGAGTGTATCCAATACAAATCGTTTATTTATTACATGCCAACTAAACTCTTTCTAACAAAATACATGTAATTCAATTTACATTTCTGATCTGATTTTCGGTAAGGAGAACTAACCTGTCTTGCTCCTCTTTACTTCTCTTTTCGCTTTCTAAACCTACGTGTGAAACAATCACACGCTAAGTCGATGACTTAGTGAGGCATATAAAACATAATTATATGTTAACTGTAACTTCTACAATGCATGAACATTTGATACTACCTTATCATACCAAAACATATATTATTCTCTGCAACATATACATACATGCACATATCATATATAACATTACTTTACTCATATCAATGCATAAATAATTAATACTATCATATCATATAGAAATATATATCATCATTTACCTTCTTAGCATTATCCTTTATCTCTTAGTCATATGCTCTTGTATCTAACATTCTTAACTAAACAATATACACATCATCATATAATTCTTGTAACATTTCATATCATCAAAAACATATACATCATATGTATTATATTTGTTATTGTCTCTTTATTAGCCCATGTACATTTTTGAGAACCTAAGGTATGTGAGTATTGTGAGGTTGTACACTATGCTGTCACCACAGCTCGTATAAATTTTCACCGAAGTGCCACGTAGAATTTTGTCCCGAATGACCGTGTAGAAATTTGCACCGTAATGCCATATAATATTTTCCATAAGGACCACATATAAATTCCTTAAGAACCATATACATATACTAAGGATCAAATAAGTGTCTCAAAAGACCTCATACATGCTCCAACGAATACATATACATCCCGAAGGACCACGTAGAATTATCCCGAAGGACCGCGTAGACCCTCTACTCTTGGCATGCCAACTATACCTATAGCTCTCGTATCATATAACATGGGCATTATCATTTATAACAGTTCATATCATTGTTCTTATGATCACATATTTCTTTTCTTCTGTCACATACCACATGTACATATAATCACGTAGTTTACTTCCATGTAATTCAGTCACTTTTCATATGATTTCATGTTCATATGTCACATAGCTTGTAGAATAACATGTCAGACATAGCTTAAGTATAATGATGCATATAACATATAATCATGTAGTCATGTCACATAAGAATAACATATAAACTTATTCATATAAGCTCATGTATCTTATGGTTCTTTCACATAGTTCACTATCACATTTTTATATCATATAATAGATTCTCATATTATCACTTATTTCTTTTATACCTATTTAGCATCACATTAACATGTACTCACACATATTATTTAACATATATACTCATAAGAATCACATCAATCATGTAACATTTTAGGAGTTACTTCTTACCATAATAACTCCTTCACTGGCTCATTGCAAGCCAATGTTTGATTAATAACATAAGTACAATTAAAGTGCACTCACCTTAGCCTTACTTCGATTCGATCCTAATTCTTTGATTATTCCGACACTTGTTTAGGCTCAATATCTACATAAATATAACATTTCAAAACAACTATCAGAAGCCTAAACCTTAAACTTGATGTTAATAACTTAAGTCACTTTAATGAACCAGAATTCAATTTTTCATTTAGGGGGAATCGATACCCCCCCAGGGGGGAATCTGTTCCCCCTGCACATACTGGAATTTTCGTTCAAAAGGGGGTATCGATACCCCTTCATAGGGTACCGATTCCCTATGCCCAGAAATTGTATTTTAATCCTGAAAATCATCAATTCTTCACTCAATTCTTCTATTTTAAACCCCTATCATGTCATTAAACTCAATCACCATTACTTAAACCAACTTATATCCATGAAAACCATCTTTAACCTCAAAATCCTATCCCTCATATGTAATTCAAGAATCATACTCAAATTTCAATATGTTCTAAATACAATTCTAACACTTCATATTCCTTAATTAGCATGATGCAAGTCAAATTTAACTTCAAATTCACTTATCAACTCTTTTTCCATAAATTCAATTAAAAACCCATTTCTTTAATCTCTTATAACTTCTTCATCTTTTGATTATAAGACAACTTAAGCTCTCCTTAAGTTTAGTTATCATCTAATGATCAAAACTCAACTTAAAATTCAGCTAATAATCAAAAATTAAGAAATCTTACCTTTGCTCTCTTGCTCATGATGGAAAAGAAGAAATGAGGAAGAAGAAGAAGATAACTTCCCCTTTTCCCCACATGATTCATTCATATATAGGAAAAAATATCTTTCCTATCAAATGACTATTTTGACCAGTTTGGGATGTTACACCCCTAATTTTTTCAATCTCATTTTTTACTTATATAATTTAGGCCCCTAATTTTTTTTTTCAATCTCACATTTTACCTTTAAAATTGATGTCCCTATTTTTTTTAATATGACTTTTTACCTTTATAATTATATTCCTAATTTTTTCAATCATACTTTTTACTTTTATAGTTTAAGCCCCTAATTTAATCATTTTTATACTATTTATTAACATAATATTAAATTAATTATTCAAAGTATTATAATATACTTTCGTTTTATAAGAGTCTATCTTTTATTTTCGCTTAGGGTCTTGAAAATGTCTGAGACAACTATGTTTTTATTAAATAGTTTATTAAATGTACTAAAAATAATTTACAAACAAATTTTTTTATTTTTTCTTGCTCTTACAAATTAGTTTTTGTTCGATACTTATTATTAGAGGCCTAATTTTTATATTCACCCGAGCCACTAAAATCTCATAAACGGGTATGGATGTAATCTGTTCAGGAACCGCTTGAAGCAGAAACTCCTCAGGGAATTTCTACATCAGGGAATGCTTCCATAAAGAGAAGTGGCAGGTTCTTGTGGGCCCTTATGGGAGATATAGTTCGATTGCGGGAGTTCACGTGCTCAGACCCCTAGCTTAAGTTTAACTGCAAAATCCGGAGGAAGGACTTCACCTAATGGGTCTGTTCACAGTGAGACATCGTTTTCTGGTCATGAAACAAATGAAAACAATGAAGAAAATCTGAGAAGGGAAAGGAGAAACCTGGCTTCAGAGGTCATATCTCATAAGTTGGGACAAGGGACTCAAGGTGAAGGAGTTTTTTCTGACTCAACAAGGACAACTGAAAAAGTTGGACACCTTGAAGGCAACATTTCACCATCTTTATATTAAGGGACTCAAGGTGAAGGAGATTTTTCTGACTCAACAAGGACAACTGAAAAAGTTGGACACCTTGAAGGCAACATTTCACCATCTTCAGATATATTAGAAACTGTGCCTGCATCAGAAGTTTTTTCATTGCCCACACAGAAGGAAAAACATGGCATTAGTAGCTCTGAGGTAGCCCCTTCAGGCAAGGAGGTAGTACAATCATCTTTACCATTACCAGCTGGAAGCACAAAAGCATCTCTTTGTTCTAGAAGAGATTTCAGAAACGGATAAAATTAATATCCAGGGAAGTGGTTCAATAAGGACAATGGACCAACCTTTCGGTTCAAGAATACCTGAAGCATAAGGTCCTCAGGAAGGAGGGGGAATTAAAACAAAGAAAGCTTCAACGACCAAACAAGTTCCAAGAGATAGATTTGACGAATGGGAAGAAGCATATAGACTTGAGTGTGAGCAGCGAAAAATTGATGAAATGTTTATGAGAGAAGCATTGCTGGAAGCTAAGAAAGCTGCTGATTCTTGGGAGGTGCCTGTTGGGGCAGTACTAGTGCAGCATGTGAAGATAATTGCTCGTGGACGCAACTTGTGAGTTCAATAAATTGACATGCTTTTTGTTTGACTGTTTATCATTTCTTAACATTTTTTATTGATGATTTAATTTCAGGGTAGAGGAATTACGGGATTCAACTGCACATGCAGAAATGATCTGTATACGGGAAGCTTCGAGCATACTATGTTCATGGAGGCTTGCGGTACTATTTCTTCTTTTCTGTTCTGAAGTGTACTAACTTTTTGGTGGAGAGGGATGTCAAAACATCCAAAGATGCAGTTCCTCAATAATTCTAGTTTCACTGCTAACCAGGCAGTTTGCTGAGAAAACATGTAAAGGATATGTGCACATAAATTTCTCTGATAATAAGGATTATATGTTCAAATATGGTTCATTAACAAATGAGTAATGCCCCCAGCAAAATGCTTGGGCCTGCTTATTGCTCTTGAATAGCAGTTACTATCAATGCCGTTTTCTAACTTGCAATGGACTTATTTGTCAAAAGGTTTTTAGCTTTGTAGTTATTATTGGCAGTTTGATGAACTTGGTAATCTACCTGCCACCATATCATAAATAAGCATTCAATTTTATATCCAAATGATGACGATGCATCATGCCTGATAAGGGAATATAATTTCCCTAAAAATTCTAGTAATCTTTCTGTTTGATGACAAAATTCATGCTTTTACTCCAATTGTTGTAATATCAGAACAAATATCTTTTCTTTTCCCCATTTTAAATGGTTCTATAGTAAAATCCATTCAGCGACTGAATCTTTTGCCCCTGTAGGATACAACACTTTATGTTACACTTGAACCATGTCCTATGTGTGCTGGAGCAATTCTTCAGGAAAGAATTGACACTGTTGTGTGGGGAGCTCCCAATAAGCTTCTAGGAGCAGATGGTAGTACTGTGAGATTTCACTGTTATAAGCTTGAATTTATACTTTTCATGGTTTGAAAATTGCAACAACATACTTGCCAAAACAAAATTGTTGCTGATTATAACATGTGGTTTTGGTCTTTATATTCGGGCTACTAAAGAAATAGAATAGGAACTTTTTCTGAGGGAATTACCCTATATTTTGTAGACTTTTCCCTGACGGAAGAGGAGGAAATGGTTCAGAAGTGACAGACAAGCCGGCAGCCCCAGTCCATCCATTCCACCCAAATATGGGAATCAGACGGGGGCTATTGGCTTCAGAGTGTGCAGACATGATGCAACAATTTTTCCAGCTTAGGAGAAAGAATAAGGGAAAGAATGCAGAGCAGCCCCAATCACCATCTTCTCTTCCTGTAACAAGTCATCGTTCGAAATTCTTTACCAAGATGCATGATATCTTGCATTTGATGTTCTGTTTGTGACACTAGGAAAACCAGCATACTGTTTTTTTTTTATTAAGTTCTATAATGTATTTTATGAACAAAGTGCTAATTTTCCTCAAATCAAATTGAGTGAAAGTTTTTTCTTGTCAGGTCTACCAACGCATTTGAAAATAGGTAGGTTGTTGCAGCTTTGTTAACATTGCCTATTTCTTAGCAAACCCTTTCTTAATCTTCTCCAGATAGAGATTGTATCCCCTTATCATCAAACACGCCTTTATCGCAAAATTTTCTCCGTTCAAACTTCAAACCTGATCAACATGTTTGTCATTCGCGTAAAGTGCACCATAATATGATAGAAATAGATATGAATAACACCAAAGCTGATTAACAGAAATATTTTTTTTATAGAAGTTGGAGGTCTCATTAAAAACTCCCTTCTTATTCGTTCACATACTTAAATTATGTTAACGAACATTGGAAGGAAGAAAAGAGTACCTCAAATTTTATTGATAATAATACCCGATACAAAAGACACCACGGAATATCCTCTCATGGTGATGAACACCATTACAACAAACACCTTAACCTCATATAACCTCATACAAAGCCACAGTCTAATCACCTTACTTCTAATTACACCACCAGCAGTAGGAATAAAATAGCGCAACAGAACATAATGCAAATTAAAAGCAACACCTACAACCATATGAACTAAAACAAAACCACAATTGAAGAAACAAGATCTAATGAGATTCGTCTTCTTCGGGAGCCCAAGAGTAAGATTTATCTTTGGGGGGAAATTGTCCTCACTTCAAGAAAAGTTAAAGCCGATTAAGATTTATCTGAGCAAGAGTAATATATTTCCAAAGATATATAAAGAGAGTAAGAAAAGAGTAGCAGGATTAAGGAAGCTCAAAAAATATAAGAGAAAAAGTGAATCATATCATACAGCGTTGGAACTAGCCTCATTTTCATTTGGGTCGGCTATAGAATCAGAAGCCAAAACCCGAAATGCTCGCTCGGGAAGCACCAGTGAGGGATGTGAAAAATTTCAGGCTAGAAAAAAAATGAGAAAAATTTAGTGAATTTGAAAAGAAAAAACAAACCCATAAATTAAGGATTACCTGGGAATTGATTTGAAGGAGTTGTTAAATAGAAGGGAAGTGATGGGTTTGTAATTGTGATAGTGGGAGTGAAGTTTTGGGAAGGAAAAAGCTGAGGGGAAGCAGATACTGCTCGTTGCCAAAGCCATTGTTTAGCTGCTGGAGTTGGAGTGATAAAGGTTGAATATTCGAGTGAGGCACCTAGTAAATTAGTACTAATAGTTACTTATTATTATATTATTTATTGATTTTTAATATTTATATTCGAGATTATCATAAGAGACACTTGCATCAATTTTCTATTGCTTGTTGAAGAATTTTTCTAAAAAGTATAAACTGTTCTCAGATTTCTTTGGAACAATAACGAGCATCTTTATGCCTTGGTAATGAATAACAAGACGATAACGATGATGACGGCAACAATGACATGGTTCCATCTCGTAAATTCTGTTGATAAAAGAATTATGTGAGTTGACCCGAATCGAATTCCAAGACCAACCTTTTTCCAATGGACATCACTCTTCCTCGTCTACTTCATGAAAGGGAAGTGGCACGGTCTTGATTGCCCTGAACTTGCCTGCATTATTTAGATGCTCATTCTCCAACCTGGACCATTAGAAGGTTTTGTTCATTGTTGCTTCTCAATCAAGCAACAAGTGTGCATGTTGATGGGAATAAATGGGGCGGCTAGTGGTCAAATTTGGCCACCAAATTGATAAAAAAAATAGATGGTAAAACTACACATTTACTCATTGTACTTTAGGGTATTTACAAGATTAAGTCCTTAAGATTTAGCTATAAATACCCTAGCCCATTTAGCTTCAAAACCATCCCAAAGCATTCTAGCTTTCTTCCAAATACTAGAGAATTTAGAGAGTTTCTTGAGAGTTGTTTTCTCTTTTTTATCAAGAGAGAATTATCATTGTTTTCTCCTTGGTAGATCGAGAGAGGTTGTAATTCCTATTTTCTCATAGTGAAATTCTTCTACCGTTGCCCGTGGTTTTTACCCTAAATTTTTAAGGGTTTTCCACGTAAATTTTGTGTCTCTTTTATCTTTATCTTTATTTTCTCAAATTATCAGTTGCGATTTTGCTCTATCCGATAGCCGTCTTCCGCAACAATTGGTATCCGAGCTAGATTAGAGTGTGTAATATCTGCTTATTGTCTTTGTGGTTGCCACCAAAAGGTGGATCCTCCAACATAAGAAAATAAGAAGTTATTACCCATTCTTTGAAGGTTCCAGAGAACTATTCACGATAGTGAAATAGTGGGAGCTATCCGTAAAAGAAGCTATGGCAACGAAATTTGATATTGAAAAATTCAATGGGAGAAATTTCTCATTGTGGAAATTGAAGATGAAGGCCATCCTAAGGAAAGACGGGTGTCTAGCGGCTATCAATGAAAGGCCGGTGGATTTCGCAGATGACATCAAATGGAATGAAATGGACGGGAATACTATGGCAAACTTTCATCTAGCATTAGCAGATGAAGTATTGTCAAGCATCGAGGAGAAGAAGACAACTAAGGAGATATGAGATCATCTCACCAAATTGTACAAGGCCACATCGCTGCACAATAAAATTTTCCTTAAGAAGAAATTGTACACTCTCTGTATGCCAGAATCTACTTCAGTGACGGAGCACTTAAATACACTGAATACCTTATTTTCTCAGCTTACATCCTTAAGCTGTAAAATAGGAGAACAAGAACGTGTTAAACTTCTACTTCAAAGTCTACCGGATTCGTACGATCAACTCATCATCAACTTGACAAATAGTAATGTCACCAGTCTAGTCTTCGATGACGTTGCAGCTGCTGTTCTACAAGAAGAAAATCGGCGCAAGAACAAGGAAGACAGACAAGTAAATCTGCAACAAGCAGAAACGTTGACAACGATGAGATGGAGATCAACAGAATGTGGCCAAAGCAGCAGTCACAAACATGGTAGATCAAAGTCGAGGAGCAAGAAGAATTTAAAGTGCTATAACTGTGGAAAGAAGGATCACTTGAAGAAGGATTGTTGGAGTCTAAATAAAAACTCCAATCCATAAGGTAATACCGCAAACACTTCAGATGATGGAGATGCTCTATGCTGTGAAGCGTCAACCACCGTGGAAGGCAGAAAAAGATTTACAGATATATAGCTCATTGATTCGGGAGCGACATATCACATGACCTCAAGAAGAGAATGGTTCCATCATTATGAACCTGTCTCAGGAGGATCTGTGTATAGTTACAATGATCATGCCTTAGAGATCGTTGGTGTGGGAACCATCAAATTAAAGATGTATGATGGAACAATTAAAGTTGTTCGAGATGTGCGGCACATGAAAGGCCTGAAGAAAAATTTATTATCCTACGGATTGTTGGATAATAATGCTAGCAAGATTGAAACACAGAAATGAATCATGAAGGTGTTCCATGGAGCGCTTGTGGTGCTAAAAGGTGAAAAGATAGTTGCAAACTTGTACATGCTGAAGGGAGAGACATTACTAGAAGTAGAAGCCTCTGTTGCCTCATGTAGTTCAGATTCTGCAATGTTATGGCATAAGAAACTTGGACACATGTTAGAACAAGGAATGAAAGTCCTTATGGAGCAAAAGCTACTTCCAGACTTAACAAATGTATCACTTACTTTATGTGAGCATTGCATGCATAACAAGTAAGCAGCACCGGTTGAAATTCAACACATCAAATTCTAGAGGCAAAAGTGTTCTAGAATTGGTTCACTCTGACGTATGGCAAGCACCAGTAACATCCCTAGGTGGAGCAAAATACTTTGTCTCATTTATTGATGACTACTCCAGGAGATGTTGGGTGCACCCTATTAAGAAGAAGTCAGACGTGTTTTCAACTTTCAAAAACTTCAAAGCGCGGGTGGAACTTGATTCTGGAAATAAGATCAAGTGTTTCAGAACAGATAATGGAGGAGAATACACAAGCGAAGAATTTGATGACTTTTGCAGGAAAGAATGCATCAAAAGACAGTTCATAGTGGCGAACACTCCTCAAAAAAATGGAGTGGCAGAGCGGATGAACATAACCTTGTTAGAAAGAACAAGAGCAATATTGAGGGATGCAGGCCTAGAAAAATCATTCTGGGCAGAAGCAGTCAATACCGCCTGTTATTTGGTGAATCGAGCTCCATCAACTGCAATAGAGCTGAAGACACCAATGGAGATGTGGACTGGAAAACCAGCTGATTATTCAAACCTCCATATATTTGGAAGTATAGTGTACGTGATGTACAACTCCCAATAAATTTCAAAGTTGGATCCAAAATCCAGGAAATGCAAATTCTTGGGGTATGCTGATGGAGTAAAGGGGTATCGCTTGTGAGATCCCACTGCCCGCAAAGTGATCATTAGTAGAGATGTTATCTTTGTAGAAGATAAACTACAAAGAAAAGAATAGTGCTGAAAAGTCAGAGACTACTCAGATACATTGTGGAAAAAGAGTTTGAAGAATGAGATTCTTTTGAAGCAGAACCAGCACATGATGAACAAGAACCAGAGAGTTCTGAAGCTCCAATAACTCGTCAATCAAATCGTGTGAGAAGACGTCCCAATTGACACTCAAATTATGTTATAGAAGGTAATATTGCATACTGCCTTTTAACAGAGGACGGTGAGCCATCAACATACCAGGAGGCAATAAACAGCTCAGATGCTTCACTGTAGATGATGGCGATGCAAGAAGAAATTGAAGCCCTTAATAAAAATAATTCATGGGACCTTGTGCCACTACCACAAGGAAGGAAGCCAATTGGTAAAAAATGGGTCTTCAAAATCAAGCGAAATGGTGACGATCAAGTTGAGATGTATCGTACAAGACTGGTGGTCAAAGGATATGCTCAAAAAGAATGTATTGATTTCAATGAAATATTTTCTCCTGTGGTTTGACTAACAACAGTTCGAGTAGTCTTGGCAATGTGTG